TCAAAGCCCCTATAGATTAAAAAAAAAAAAAAAAACACTATAGTACTGTCATTGATGACCTAAAGCAGATTTTAAAGGACACAGAACATGGAACATTAAAGATATCATTAAGGAATACATACCACCAATTAGTTTACTAAAAAGAATCTCTGACAATCAAAAGGCCAAGTAGGAGTTGATCAACTCCACTGCATAGCAAGGGAAGTACCTCCACACCCCAAGAAGAAAATTCCCACAGATATAAGAAAGATCCAAGGATGTTATTCATATGATAAGGATCACCAGAACCTGCTTCAGTACAAACCTGGAAGTTCAATTTAATCCAATCCCTCACTTCTTAACACATCTCAAAACATCCCCCACAAGGTGCAAAGAACCAGTTACAAGGACCTGGTAAAAGCCAAGCAGAGGAAGAGAAAATGTTAAGCCCATAAAATCACATTTGTGCAAATGGAAACCAAACATTTCCATGAACCTGGAAAATGGACCACATCTTGCATTCTGTGCAGCCCAATAAACACATTGATCAGATAATACTAACTGGTTAGCCATTGCATCAAATAGCTTGAACTTTATCTCTTTGATCTATTTTATGATCATGTAACTGACTCTTCAGAAGTAGGAAATCAAGTGGATGTTTAGGGATATGGTGAAACCAAATCTCCAATCCATTCAATGAGTCCACCAATATATAGGGGTGATCATGGGCTGGGCCAGGCTGGGGACAGGCTTAGAACCTATGATAAAGGTTATAGTCCAGTCCCAGGCCCGGATATATATGGACCCAGGATGGGCTTTGGACCTATGGCATCAAATAATAAATTTTACTTATTTATAGTATTTAATATTATATGATGTGTATCGCATGTAGAAAAAAGTTGCATAGGCCTGGGATGGGCCAGGCTTGGCTTGGCTTTTGGCCTATGATATAAAAAATATGGGCTTCAACACATTGCTGTCTATCCTTTAAACAAATGAAGGCAAGACCTTCATTCTAATACTTGGGCGATGTGGGACATGGGACAACACTCACTACCTTTTGAGTGTTGTTACTTGTTCCACGTCCTACATTGCCCAAGTATTAGAATGAAGGTCTTGCCTTCATCTATTTATATGTTATAATGTTATACATACACAAGTTGGCGGGAGCCTCGTGCACTGGGCTGCTCTTTACATACACAAGTGGACTCACATGTCAACTCATGAATGTATAATATATATTAAAATATTTATGTAAAGCATTTAATATAAAATAAAATAAAACATATTTGTATACGTATAACATTTAAAGTATATACAATATAATTATATAAATATAGTATGCTATAATATAATTATATAATACATATTAGAGGTCAGGCCTAGACACAAAACCTGGGCCCAAGCCCAAAAATTTCCAGGCTAGGCTGGCTCAGGCTGGAGATCACCCCTATCCATATGTATGAAAGTATGAAAAATCACAATGTTAGTGGCTTGACACATTCCAATAGCTTGAAATATAAATAACAAAATAAAGTGATATAGATTAAAATAAGTAGAAAATCTTCCAGTTTCTTGCATTTATGCAGAAGGGGGACCTAGCAGGGAATTTCTGGCCAGTCATTTGATTTGAATTGTGATTGGTACTAGATTCTTCTTAAAGACATTTGACTTTGATGCATGCAATATTCTAACAAAACCCAACCAGATGGAAGTTTTTCTGATTCTATGACCATGACCAAATATTCATGTTACATCATGGACAAGATTGTGCCATCAAGTAAAATAGACTTGATATATCAATTATTCTTACTTAAAATGAAAGCTAGAATTACCTGAAAACGAACAGATTTATTCTGTTCGACGCTGTCCCTGAGCCATCTAATAGCTAATGGAAGCGAGGGAAACACTGAACTGCTTTCACAACTCATGAGATACTTTTCTTTATCTTCTTTACCTTCTTCGTAGATAGAGTCTGTGTTTTTGTCATCCCCTCCTACTAAGCGGATGAAACCATCAAAGCATACAGAAAAGGAAAATAAAAATGGTCTTAAATGCACTTTTCATTTATAATGATTAACATAGGACATTGCAAAACAAATAGAAGAGAAAGGAAAACATTGAATTTCATTCTTGTCACATTATGCAACATTTTACTGATAAAAGGAATTTGCTCATCCTAAAAGAGAGGCTGATTTATTTACCACTGGGAGGGAGGGAGGGAGGGAGGGAGGGGGAGAGAGAGAGAGAGAGAGAGAAAGAGAGGTTGATTAATTGATTACTCTTAAAATATATAACAGAAAAGAAAGGAACATTCATACTTTCATGGCCTTGGAATAATATAGACGAACAAAGATACCTTTCTTACCATGGATGAGGCTTTCCCACACTCTTTGTAGTGTCAGCTGCCAGGATAAATCCACTTGAGGATCAGTTTGTGGCACTGTGTAGGAGCCAACCTTGTTATACATTGACATGTTTGGTACAAAAAGGGCCTTCTGGAAGTGCACTCCTGCATTTGCAATCAAGATTCAATATGACCTTTGTCCACGGACTATCAATTTTGTTTGGATCAAAAAAAAAAAGTTAGAATTGAGTGGATGAGTTTGTAAGTCCAACTACACATAGCCTTATCATAGAATAATATAGAGATTTATCCTAGATGCCCTTCACAAATATTACCATGATGAGCACAAGCATTTATAAGGCGTGGAAGAAGTAGCTGAGGGTCTCGCACTGACATACAATTGAACAACAGTATCTGCACACATATTTCAAAGTTCAGCATATCATTGCTCATTCCAAGTGATGAGGCATTAAAGAAGGAAATGTAGAATCTTTGGCAAAATTGGTTTAGGTTACCCAGGTAAAACCCAATAGACCAATCTTTTCTGAGACTTTAAAAAGTGATGAAGATACAATAGAGCAATAAGCATGTGCCTTATGGTATAAGTATTTTATTTTCACTTGCTTCAAAAGTTCAGAAAGATGTCATTTAAGTTTCATGCATATATCGATAAATTGTCCAAGTTATGATATTCTCATTTGCAGTTTAAATTTCTGGCGTTTTCCTATAAAACATTAATACAGGGATCTAAAAAGATTTTTTTTTGATAAACAGGGATCTAATAAGATTTTAAAGCAACAAATTCTTACCTGTTTGGAGTTTTTCCTTAAGTCCTCCTTTTGGCATTTCCGCATTAGATCATTTGAACCTCTAGACTTATCCTGCAGCTGCTCCTTCAAGGGGTTTTGTTGCTGGATACCTTCTGCAATAGCAAGAGAAAACCACCTTGCACACATTTCCATGCTTTCAGGACTATGAGCCCCATCCAAGTAGAAAACTAGATCTCCAGTGCTTTCACCATTGAAATATGGATCAGGGACAATCTGAGCACGTCCTTGCAAACTGGCTGTTGTAAGCCCTTTGATGAACTGCTCAGGCAATGAACTCTATTTCCATCCCCCCCCCCAAAAAAAAAAAAAACATATATTCTCAGCATCACAATATATGGGCATAAAAAGGAAAAGGAACAAAAAAAATATAGAACTTACAATCTCATCCAGAAACATGCCTTCAAAATAGCCAGTCTTTTGGAGCCAAGTACGACAAAGAGCAACTGCAAGACCTGCGTTTAGATACTGGTGCTCTCCATGAAGCCCAAGTTCAAGACCATTCAGCAAGTTGATATCCAATGGGGGTGCTATTTGAAGAGGTACCTATAACCAGAAAGAAATAACTACATGGTAAAATTTACAACCTTTTTAACTTGTTACTGTAGCAAAGCCGGGGCTGGAATTTTAGGCCATGGACCCAGAGCCAGACAAAAAAAAGGTGGTTGGGGTGGGGCTTTTAATTGCTACAGGTATGTGGGGTGGGGGCCACTACACTAGTAAATTGAATATTTATAAAGGGAAAACGTTCGGGGGTGGGGAGGAAGCCACCTTGCCCTCGCCTAGTTCTGCCTCTCTTTGCTGGACATGCTGGACCATTCATCAGTCTACTAGGGCAAGATCTGGGATCTGGTTTCCTTCAGTTATTTATACTTAATCAAAAATTGGCCAAGGGATGGAAAGCCTAGTAAGTCATGGCTTGGGCAGCAGCACTGAGACAAGAATTATAAGCTCACCAATTGCTAAAGTTTTGCCTATTGTCTCATGAGTTAGTGATTTAACAAGCCATAAGCAACTATTGGAGGATTGGTGTTTTACACTAAAGGGAAATAAATGAACAAATATACATTATATAAGTATCAAAACAAATAACAATTTCCTATACCTGTTACATACTTTAAACAAGTTCAGATGGTCTAAATCATTGGAATAAACAATTACATTGCTGTTCTCAGGGCCAATAGGGGCTGGAAATTCAGTAAAAGCAGAGTTACAAGCTCAAATTCAAGGTTTGGAATTAGCCACAACAGCAGGCTTCAGAAACTTGTTGGTTGAAAGGGACTCCAAAACCACAACAGGCTGTCTGAGAGGTGACATGGATATGGTCTGTGGATGTTTAGGAATCATGTTCAAGAGAAAAGACAGTTGGTCCATAGATTGGAGTATGCTAACTTTCTTGCAGACTCTTTAGCTCAAGAAGGGCTAATAGATAGAGCCTGATATGGAATCGGTGTTTATCCTTTAAATTAAAATCTCTTCATTAGGGAGAAGCAATTAGCTAGCTTCATGATCATGGTGTAAAATTTTTGATATGCCATACATAAATACTGTATATTATTATTAGTATCATAAAATTTTATAGTTACTAATAAAATAATAATTGGTATACAAAGCAGGATGTATGTTAGATGATTCAAACTTGAATGGCAAATTCAACTTCAGGGATAAAAAGAATGGGTACAACTTACATCCAGCTCAGAAGCCTTCTTCTCAAGCACAGACATAGCTTCATCAAGTTGTGGCACAGTAAAGGCTGGAATTCCATGCTGTAATAAAACACACACAAACCAAAAATAAAAATAAAAGAAAAAATAAAAGCATAAGAATGTCTAATACACAAGGGTGTTACAATTAGAATATGGTTTCATTTAACCAATAATATTGGGTAAGTTTTATAAATAAACAAGGTTCAAAGACCACCTTGAATATACCAGCTTTCTCCCCTGCAATCTCTCCAAGGGTATTTCCTGTAGCAAACATTCAGTAATAAAGGATGAAAACTTACTACACATCCTTATTTTGATATACCAAAATATCTGATTAGATTTCTAGACTTAAAATGATGTTCCTCGCCACGAAATTTCAGAAGGAAATCCATTCCAGCAGGAAAGAGAAGTCATCTAAAATATGAGCCAACCTCAATGACCTTTCAAGCATTATGATCTCACATCTTTTGTAGTTTGTTTAACTTTGCACAGAGTTGCTGATAGATTCTAATTCAAGATCAATAAAATTTATAAAATATCAAGGCATGATAGGAAACTATGCTAGTACAAGGAAAAGCTTACATTACACACATGTATCATGCTTTTAATTGGTAACAATAAAAAATCTTATTAATTATATAAAAGAATAATGTACAAGAAAAACAGTGTGGGAGGCACCTCTTAGTTTGATAGCCCTGCTAGCCCCAAACTATAATCCTTTTTACAGTCCCATCTTGAGCCATTACACCCCAATACAGCTTTCTTCTGGCTACTTCTTTCTTAGCTAATTCATTATCCAGGTAGTAGGATGATCTCAGAGTCTATATACAATTCTACATACTACTTTCAGCTCTTCCATCTTTCTAATCTCCCTCAATGTGTCTATACCTTTGAACCCCCCCCCCTCCACCTCTAAATTTACATAATTTACTGAGGCAATGAGTCTCAATGATGTAGGAAGTAGGACAGGTGGTCCTATAGGAGCTAGGTGGGATGAACAATTATAAGAATGACTCAAGAAGGTGAATTGAAGCTTTAGAAGAGTTTATGGGACCATCTAAAATGTGCAATTTGACCTTTGAACGTTTCTGAATCAGATTTAACAATTCATCAATCTCCTTGGACCTGGACCAATGGAATCTACAAGAACCAAGGAAGTAGGTTTCAGAATAGAATTTTCTATGAAAATTTGTTTACAGATTTAGAATATGGAAATGTGTAGGGGCAATTTAATTTGAAAAGGTTCCGCATAGTTTGGACACAAAAGGATGGAAATCCTCCTTTGTGAGGAAAAATTCCAAATTTTGAAAACTAGGATTTTGTTTGGAATTTTGGGTTGAACCTTGATAGAGTATATAATAATGGAAAATAATGAGGAATGACCAAGTTTGGTAGGGATATGAATTTGTCTTGCACAAAAAGATGGAAATGTTTCAAGGAGAAAAGTATTGCGAGAAGGGGAAGGGAGAAACTTAGTTGGGTTATGTGCAGGGTCCCAAAGAGTGATTTGAAGCCTTGTTGAGAGCTATAAGAGATACTAACCAGAAGATATTGATTAAATCTGTAATAGAGAATTAGAAGAGAAGAGAGAGAATATAGAAAGGAGGGAGGAAAAGAGGGGAGAGAGAGAGAGAGAGAGTGAAGGTTTGCTTTGAGAAGAAATGCACAGGGAAGACTCATGCAACTCTAAAAAACTGTCAATCCATTCTGTCCAAAAAATGGCTTACAAAATGTATTTATAGAAAAATAATAGGGCTTGGCTCGCTGTTCATTGAACTTACAAAATTGCCACTAGAAAGCTTCGGCCAAAAGAAAGCATCATAATTCCTATTCAACTATGAAACCTTAAATGCAACTTAAATAAGACCCAAACAACATAACTATCAAACTAAACCCCACCAGAATTAAGTAAAATTACCAAATATCCATAAAGCAGAAAATTACTCAAAAGTTAAAAAAAATCCAGATACTCCTAGATTGATTCTACGACCATCTTGATGCCCAAATCACTAAGCTCTTGACAAACTGCAAACAGTTCTGCCTGAGTAGAGTTCCCCTTCTGAATAGGACCCGAAAGCAGCACATACATATACACTTGTTATGCACATGATGATATTTGAGAAACATCCATATTAATTAGTGCAGTATATATTCCATTGCAGCTTTGAATATTTAGCAGCAAATGATATATTCTTCTATTTGAGCAACAATACTGCCTCAGAAAACATGCCTGTGTATATTTTCGTCACTTGCTTTTAGTACAGATATTCAAAAGTTGCACTAGGAGATAAGACAAAACAAAATTCCAAGTTCATGATTACTAACCAAGAATTTCCATGTGGTCGTACCCAAGGGAAGATATTCCACACACTATTGGTGCCTGTACCTAAAAAGAGAATTCCAAATTGCATTAAGTCATACTCAACAGATTCCCCAACAACTGTATCCTGTATCAAGTTCATCTAATCTAATACATACTAGTCGCACACACACAAGTACAGGGAAAAAAAAAGCTAGTCAATGATTCAATGATATCTCGAGAGAATGGACCAATGAATGTTTATCAGAATACTCTTGTAAAACAAAGTAGTACATACCACATTTGTCGCATCATACTTTCCTCCTAATCCCACCTCCAAAATAACAACATCTACCTGCATAATGATTATAACATCAAAGAGAAAGGTAGTGTAGTAGTTCCACCTCATCCATGCAAAGAAGATCCATTAAGGGCATGTTTTAAAGGTCCAAAAGCTGTATCAATTAAATAGAAAGATAATAACATAATCTTAACCTGCTCTGCTGAGAATATCTTGAAGGCAAGCAAAGCAAGGAAGCGGAAGTAGGTAGGCATCGGTATATCTTCATTACTTCTTTCCTGTGCACAAAGTGGAGAAATTGTCATGAAATAAACACTTCATTATGGTCTACTATCCCCAAGAATGAGAATTCAACATTTTTTAGTAGTTTGATCAGTACGGAGGTGCATCTCCTATGTACAATATGAGAGTGGAAGGAATCATAATAAATATACATTGGGAAGGGAAAGAATCATAATAAATATACATTGAGAAGGGAAGGGAAGGGAAGGGCAGACATGCTCATAGTGAAGTGATGTATATCGCCACATTTCGTGCATAGTGAAAAGGGGTGGTGTCTCTGGAGTCATGCATTTGTGGAGAATGAAATGCCCAATGCATTAAGATTTACAAGGTACCTGAATAACAAGGACACTGTGATTCAACAATGAAAAATATTTAGACATGGCAGCGCTTCAGACAATTTGGAATTTATATTAGGTTAAAAACTTAAAATTCCAATTCCAATTCTAAACCTGGTATAAACAATACAACAAGGTTACCCAGAGTGCATAGGCCAGGAAACTGTAACTGGATAAAAAGCTATAGCTGGAGACATAAAAAGGAAGAAAACAAAAACAATAAGTAGAAAACCAGAGGCCAAAAAGATTTTTGTAACTCAGCTTGCAAGTCTATGCCCAAGGAAGAGGGAGCTTGATCCACTATACTAGAAAAATAGAAGAAGATACATCCAGAAGACTTAGCCAACTCCTACTCGTTCTATCAGCCTAACGAAAAGCAACCAATGGTTATACAAGCCTCCAACAAAATAACAGCCAAAAATTACAAACGACCCCCATCCTGGGCATCCTGGTTGTTCAAGGTTTTGGGAGGGGTGGACTGGATACAGACATAACCTTTGGCATTTTTTGCACAAAGTAGCCGCTCTTGTACAAGTTGATCACCACATGAAAGGTTGATTAAAGTAGAGTTCCAACTACTAAAACACTTTACAATCAATAACCTCTAAGGTATTTTGTCAAGGTCAACTAGCTCAAGAGCTTGAGGAAGGTCATTGGTTCTATTGTTTCAAAACAACAAGGAGCTTCTGTATTTATTAGGCATATCCAAGATGAGGCTCTAGTGGAAAATGAACTGATTGATTCAAGAATAAGAAGTGAAAAACCTGTTATTGTTTGTAAAATTGATCTTGAGAAAGCTTATGATCAACCAACTGGGATTTCTTGAAGTATATGCTCAGAAGAATGAAATTTGGCCAAAAATGGAAGAACTAGATCAATGTGTGTATTTCACTATTTCTAGTCCATGATTCTCCATTTTTAAGTAATGGCCCTGCCTGCAGTAATTTCCCTTGCTCAGAAGGGATGAGACAGGGTGATTCATTATCGCCACTCCTATTTCTTATTGTGATGGAGAGTTTGAACAGAATGACAACAAAAGCTGAGATTGGAGGCTTATATAAGGGCTTTGAAGTTGGAAACACCATTGCTTGCTTTAATTATAAAAAAAAAGGTTCCATTGCTTCAGTTTGTAGATGRCACCCTATTCTTTTATGATGTGGATGTCAACCAAGTAAGACATCTAAAGACTCTCTTCTACTGGTGCAAGGTGGTTTTGGGCCTGAAAGTGAAATACTCAGAATGAGATGATTCTAGTTGGAGAGGTTGAAAAAGTTAATGTGTTGGCCAATGAGCTTGGATGTAAGATTGGATCCTTCCCCTTTAAGTACTTGGGTCTTCCACTTGGTGTCAAATATAATTTAAAAAACATATAGAACCTGGTGGTAGGTGGCTGTGGATAAGTCTACAATTTGGGTTGGGTTAGCCCGAACCCAACCCAAAAAAGTTAGGTTGGGTTGAGTTGAGTTCGGGTTAGGGTTAGGGTTAAGGAGAGTGGAGACCAACCCAACCGAACCTGAACTTGACTTAGCCTCATATTTGTATGTATAAATATTATATAAATATTTATTTATGTTTGTAAGTACTTATGTATAATGCATGCATGAATGTATCTATATGCAATATTGTATCCGTGTATGTTAACAATTTTAAGTTTAAAGGAAAAATTTTTCAAAAGCATAATAACCATGTCCTCTTACAATAATGCTAAAACTGAATTGACTTCAACCCTTGAGCCTAAGAAATAAGAACATTTGGTGAAAGAAAGTAGAGAAGCCAGGCCAACCTGAGCCCAACCAGAAGTTTGGAACCCAACCCAAAGAACTTCAGGTTGGGTTAGGCTTGACCTCAACCCAACCTAGCCCATCCCAACTTGCACTTAGGGGTGGATACGAACCAAGCTTTTTTCACGAGCTATTCAAGCTCAGCTAGTGAAAAGCTCACTTTGGCTCGGTCTAAACCAAGCTTTGAGTTGAGCTACAGACTCGTTTGCTAATCAAGCTAAGCTCAAGCTTATTATATACAATATTTTTAATTTTGATATGTATAATAATAAATATTTTTTATCAGCAACTCAGAAAATGATTTCATTAAGAAAAATTAATGAAGTACAACAAGAAGTTGTGAAGGATACAAATAGACACCCTGTGTCTAAACCCCAAGCACTACAACTGAGCCTAAAATATAGACTGTCTTTGTACTCCTTGCTTAGCAAGACCATCCGCCAAACAGTTGCAGATCTTCTGACGCATTGGACTTGAATAGACATGTCCCTAGAAAGCCAATTGTACCTCCTAAGGTTGTTCCTTAGATGCCAAGAGACTCCTTCCCCTTTCTTTAACTAGTCCCCCACTATTTTGGAATCTTCTTCAATGATTAGCCTTTCAAAACCCATTTCCTTGGCTTTCTCAAGACCAAAGACAGCTGCTAAAACTTCTGTTCTAGCCACATCATTTTACTCAACTAGACCTGAAAATAAGGTGCAAATATTACCTTCCTCATTCCTAATCACCCTTCAATTCAAGAGGGGCCTGGGTTGCCCACACAACTCCCATCAAAATTGTTCCAACCAGGCACAAGGCGGAGGTGACCAATCCACTGCTGCAATCTGTCTTCTAGAAGAAGAGGCAGCTATAGCCCCCCAAGATCTGAAGAAATCATCAACTTTAAAATCTGAGAAAAGAACCGAGATCTTGGCCTATTGTGCAACTCTTAGGGTTATGACCTCAATCAATGCCTCATTGGTTCTTTCCTTTCCCCCAAAAATTCTAGAGTTTCTTTCCTCCCAAACTGTCCAAACCACTGCTGCCCTTGTGCATTTCCACATCAAACTGCCCCTCCTAGTAGGACAGCCACAAGCAGAAGGGCTAAACAATTCTCCCAAGTTAATAGGAGGAAGCCAACTGCAACAAATGACGAAGCAAACTAGTCCCAAATAAAACCAACAAATGGGCAGGAAAGAAGGAGATGAACTGCATTCTCACCGTTAAGCTTGCATAAGCAGCACCATTTGGGAGAAAGCACCAGTTTGGCCTCTTCCTTTGAAGTTTATCACAGGTATTAATGCAGCCATGATACACTTCCCAACAAAAAGCACAGACTCTAGGAGGGATGGAAGAGTACCAAATTTCCTTAACAGGGAAGGTATGAGAAGGGGAGGGTAAGAAAGATACAAGGAAGTTAAAAAAAAAAAAAATAAAGACTTACAAGTGAGGGACCCAACTGAATTGAGGGTCAACGCTCTACTATCCACACCCCCATAATAATAATTTTTATATGTGTACGTTTTTACATGTATAATTTTTTATTTTTATATGAAGCTTGGCTCACTGTTGAGCTCGAGCCAAGCCGAGTTCAAACAGCTAGATATTTGGCTCGACTCGGCTAAAACTCACACCTACTTGCAGCCCTAACTATGGAGACTCTTTAGTGAACCAGAAAGCTTTTGGAGAAAGATAATTATGGGAAAATATAGCCTCCATGATAATGGATGGAATACGATCTCTTATGACTGCAGCCATTGAAAGGGCATTTATAAAGCTTATCCCCACTTTCTGAGAGGTCTAAGATACAAGGTGGGTGAAGGGAGCAGGGTTGGGTTCTGAGGAGATTCTTGGTGTGATGACTGCCCATTGAAAGTTCTGCTTCCAGATCTGTACAGGTTAGCCAGCAACAAGAATGCAAAAATTGGTAATTCTTATAACATCATAAGGGACAATTTTATTTGAATCCTGTTTTCAGGAGAAAGTTCAATGATTGGGAATTGAGGCACATCTCTTATCTGCTATCCTTACTTCAGAATCAGACCTATAGCAATGAGGAGAGGGATTCAAAAACATGGAAGTGGCACAATTCTGGTATTTTTTCTGTCAAATCCTTCTACAGGCATCTATCTGAAGCATAGCCAAGAGCTTTTCCATTTAAAGAGGTTTGGGGCAATGTGGCTCCCTCTAAAATTAAGTTTTTCTCAATGTTGGTGGTGCTGGATAAATGTCAGACTAAAGAATATTTAAGAGGTGTGGATTTGGAGAGCACTGTGTGTAGCCTTTGTGAAGAGCACCTGGAATCTTTTAGCCATTTGTTCATTCAATGCAACTTTCCTAGAAGCTTGTGGGCTCACTTTCAAAATGAAATCCATTGGAAAAGGGTGTCATTCTAATTCTATTGCAGATCTTTTAGGTGGATGGTATGTTCAGAATATGAGCAAGAAAGGCAGATCAGCTTGGGTAGTAATTCCCTTGGCCATAATCTGGGTTAAATGGATGGAAAGAAATTCTCGGCTTTTTGAAAACAAGAAGAGCTCAATGGAGTCTGTAATTAATTCTGCTTTTGGTTTGATTAGGAACTGGCTCTCTGCTAACAATACTTACAGAGGAAAGTTTTGCCATTATTTTTTGTCTAGACTTTTTTGGCCCTTCTTAATACCCTTCTTAATACTTACAAGGGTGTTTATAGAGATACTTAATACAATACATTACTTTACCATTTTCAATATATATATATATATATATATATATAAGGGTGGGTAGGGAAGGTTTCATTGGGGATGCCCAGGGCCGGGTGCTAACCTGTAATCTGTTTTTTTTTGTAGGCTGCTTTTGTAAAATTATTTTTCCCTTTTTTTCTCTTGGGTGAGACACCCGGTAAGGTGTTCTGATGTTCTGTTTCAATGAAATATTTCCATTACTGGTCAAAAAATCCATGGAAAAACAAATCAATTTTCCAACTCTCTTACTACTAATGAACTGCTTCAATTCAAGCCATCTATCCCAAATGATAGCTCCAACACCTCCAGTAATAACACCCTTTTGGGCAAATTTTAGATGAATCTGCCTACAATAAGTTGATTTAAAAGTTGTTAGCAACACTCAAACATGAAGATGTGGCTACCTTTTGAATCTAATTAAATTCAAACTTCCTCTTGGCTCTTAGTCCAACAAGGTGCCTTGATAACTCTTAGTGCTCAAAGAGTTAATGAGGATTTGTCCAATCCATCCTGTGTGAGCTATGGCTTGAAATGATTGAGGAAGTTAATTCTTCTCCTGCTTCCTCAATGATTTACATATTCCTATTGTTCTTATAAAAGGGACGTGCCAATGTAGACATCATCCCATATGTCTTTCTTTCATATTCTTCATTCAACCATCATGTTGTACATCTAGTTCTGCTATTCTCTGTGTCAGTTCCTCATGATACAGCAAAGGCTTTGTCTATACCTGAGTGTAGAGAAGCCATGAAAGAGGAGATGAATACTCTTAAGAATGACACTTAGCAACTGGTTGATATGCCTAAAGGGAGAAAAAAGCATGCTGGGTGTAAATGGGTATTCACTATCAAACATAGAGAAGATGGTATAATTGAATGCATGGCTATAACAAACCTATGGTATTGATTACCAGACCCGTTCAATCTTATCCATTAATTTTTAGAATTTTTCCTACATTCTGTCAATATCCTATTGGATGAGGGCTGTGTGGTGTATTTCCAATAATATAAATCTTGCCATAAACCATTATTGGTTATTGTAGGATGGTGCAACGTCACTTCATGTTTTTAAATTCCAGCTTTCCCTTAAATTTGGACAAACCAGAAAGAAATCCCAGAAGTTCTAAATTCTGGGGAAAAAACGATTAGAAAGCACATAAAATTTTGTACTCGTCCGATGTACAGCCTCTGGTTGTACAAAGGCTTTTTCCTTTTTGATTAATTGAATTGATACTTCACCTTTTCTAAAAAATAGTAAAAATAATGACTGAAATATTCAAGATAACAAATTTGGTCAAAAACTCAAAACACCTTCAAGATTTCATTAAACAAGAACATCCTATCATTATAAATAGATTGAGACATCCAGAGTTCTATACCTTCAGTCTATCCCAACACCACCAGAAGTAAGCTAAAAATTTTTCTTCACATATGTCCACTCTGCAATAGCAAATCAGAAATTGGAACAATCAGAAATTTCATAAGACTTACATGCAAAAATGTTTCACTTTTAGCTGTTACATTGCCAGTGATAAAACTCCACATAACAAGAAAAAGATATTAAATCTGATGGAATAAAAATAAATCAAATGTTCCAGGAAAGTGCACTAGGTTTGTAACATATAAATGTTCCAGCAACTGAACTGAATAATTTAGTTTAAGCTAAAGCTAGAAAACAATATTTCAAACCTTCCTGCCCCAGTTCAACTGAAAATCTAACAACAGAATTTAACCAGTCAATCTCATCAAAAGAAACTAAAAATCCAAGGACAATCAACTTCTTTAGCGGGGCTCCTTGAATCTAGGGTCTTAAGTTTGAACAAAATTTTGACAGTTAGCTTTACTTCTGACTTTGACCAACTTCAAAATTTGGTCATATCAATTCAGTCCTGTTTCAGTTTTTCAGTTATCAGAAATTGCTGAAAATTAGAAGAAATCATGGTTGTCCTGCAGAAAACAACTAGACTCCTTCAACTTGAAGTAGAAACTCCTGTATATGTTTTATGATATTGAAATAAACACAAACAATTTGGAAGCTAAATGCCATGTACAAAATTATATAGAATTTGAATATTATCAATTGTAATGCCAAGTAGAAATTCATGTAAATTATCTACTAATTCAGAACTCACCCATCTAACCGGAATCTTTCTCGGACATCAATGAGATGAGGAGACGTGAAAAGCCCAGTATGGAATCCACAATTCCGCAGTATAGATTCGGTAAGCGTGCACGTTGATCCCTTTTTCAGGCATATGTAACAACAGTATATTGTTAGTTTGTCATACACCGAAAAAAGAATCATTGATCCACAAATCTTAAAGATACAGTTAGGATGAATGTATTCACGGACAATGGTTTTCAGCTGAGCACTAAGTTTAGCTACAACACAGAAATGATACCTTCCCTTTGGTGCCAGCAACGTGAATAACCTTCATCTCAGAAATTGGACCATCCAGCTCCAGCATCTACAGTGCAAAAAGCACTAAGCTATAAGCTCATCCAGACTACATACCAAATCTAACAAACCTCAATTATGCTATAATCACCTTCAAATAATCGAACAGTATATCGAATCGATCTCCCTTGTTGGATCGATCCGCACGAGTACGTTTAGTAATCAAAGAGGAGAGCGCCTCCAGGGCCTCTTCATATGGAGATACTGCGTGTTTCTGCTCAGGCAATTCAGTGTGACCTACAGATACACAAAAGCAAACAGAACGAAACTTATTGAATAAGAACGATTACAAATCAAGAACAGGAGTTCAACTTCTGTTACAAGCCATCCGACTCAAATCTCTGAATTGACAAGATTGAGCATCCGACTAACGGAGGGAATGCAACAGCATAAGCGCACGAAGAGAGAAGCGAGCGTAATACCTCCTGACATGTTGGCTCGGCCCTGGAGGGAAGAAGAAAGAAATCTACAGATACAAGAACAAAGGACGCAGACTTTGTAGGCTGTATTTAATAGAGGGTGGCGGATATCAGGATGAGTTTGGATTTTCGAACACCACAAAGAGTGACCGACGGGAAATCTTGACCATCCCTTGAAAAACCAAAACCTTGTTTTTTTTCAAAAGAAAATTACAAAGTTTTGACGGTACAGTATCTTACATCGGCTTTAAGGGCCGGTATGGCACAGATTTACATCAATGGAAGTGCTTTCTCAAGCGTGGCAAAGCGACTAGCGACTAGCGAGTATGATACGGATTGAACAAAAAATAGAAAAAATAAATGAATAAAAAAATACAGGATAACAGGAATGAGGATGCTCAATTGCGCGAAGGAGATAAGAGTTTTTTTTGAGTAGTTTGCCTAAACCACCCTGAAGTTTTTGACCATTGATGAAATCTCTTCTTTTGAAATTTGATAATTGCAATTACCTCCTCTGTATAACAAGGTTGCAAGTGGATCCTCTCTTAGAATCTTAAAAAATGCATGAAAATGTCTAACATACTCATACAGCAATTATTGAGTTTGTTTTCTACCTAAAAAACAATACAAATTTTATAAACAATAAAAAAATAAAAGAGAATTTAAAGTCGTAGCTTTACCTTTGAATGATTGGTATGACAGAAATTTTTGAAAATAAATCAATTTAAGAAGAAATATTGGAAGGGTTTGGGCTAGTGATTCATATGAATAAACAAATTAGAAATAAACATTTTGGCCAAAATAATTACATAGGTATTTTGGACATTTTCATGTCTTTTTAGAGAATTCTAACAAAAAGAGTCTATTTGTAACTATATTAAACAGTTCAAGAGAGATTATTACAATTATCAAACTTCATAAGAGATTTCAATAACAATCATAAACTTTAGGAGGTGTTTCAGCAATTTACCCTTTTTTTTGTGTGGTGGGTGGGTTAGAAAGGTGGAGATTGGTGTAATAGCATGGTTATCATGCGTGCAAATAAAGATAACAATGCCGAATTATATAACTTTTATCTTTTTTTTTTGAAATCGCTCATAAATATCATATTTCATTCAATCAATAAATTGATACAAAAAAAGGCCGATGAGACCAATCAGAAAACCCAAGAATAATTTCTCAAGAGAACAAAATAAGACAATGGATGAAGGAGGATCTAAACATCTTCTACAAACAAGAAAACGGTGAGGACAAATCACTAACAGAAGAAAATAGTGAGGACAATTATATAACTTTTATCACCAAAACCAAGACGAGTATCCTTTTATAATAGTAATAAATACCCATTGTTAAATTATTAGCTATTAAATTACTTATTACTACTCCAACCTATTTCCTGTTTTTCCTTTTTGCTTGACACCTTATCCTTATCCTTTCAACCATGTCAACTTCTAACAAAATTATGGGCATTGTTGATGGCTTCTGTACATATAACCAATTTATATCGGTCTAATTTCTCGTTTTTTTTAACATAATGACTCCATTGCTAATTTTATACTTTTAGTTTCCGCACTCATTGATTTCAACATATACATTTCTGTCACACTAGTGTTTTTTTTTTCGACATGTTTATTGAATACATTTCTGTCACACTAGTGTTTTTTTTTCGACATGTTTGTGAGACCCTGGCATAACCTACACTCTGGGTCTGGTTGGGCTGGGCTTTGGGTATATATATTATAACACATGCTATAATATCTCTCTCTATATATATAGCATATAATAGAAATGTGTAAATAAAAAATATCTAATATCTATCAAGAGAAGCTTCTCAAAATAATTCCTTATTTGTTTGTGATGATGCACAATCTGGCCGATCTTAGCTGTCAACGATCTTGCCTCTGAACTGAGTGGCAGGGGACCTGAAACGGAGGGGGTGAAGAAGCTCCGGAGAGAACCCGGCGTAAGGGCTCCGAAGCTCAAGTTAGAGTCTTTCAAAGGCAAGATAAGCCAGATAGCGCAAAAGTTAGCATACCTTGTTCTTGGGGGGTAGGGAGCCTTTTATAACCA